TTAGCAGGTCACAGGAAACCAGCATGACCTAGGGTGACAGTTCGCTCTGAGAGCATCAAGCTGCTTGTCTGCAGCTCAGGCGTGTTTCCATGACCAGCCCAGCTCAGCCCTAGAGAGCTCTTACCGTCTCGAAGATTTATGCTTGCTGCTCTCCTCTTTGTCCCTGTGCCTGCGCTCCCGGTGACGATCCTCTCGCTCCCTGCTGCGATCTCGACTCCGGCGGTAGTCGCGCTCAAAGTCGTAGCTGCGCTCCCGGCTGTAGTAGCGGTATCGTTCATCATCACTTAAGAAGAGAAAGGAGAAGTGAGGCAGAGGAGTGCACCACTCGGGGACTCGTGGGCAGCCAGGAGCCACGTTTACGGGATCGTAGAATCCCATCCTCAGCACCAAAAGCCGTCACCTCTTACTCTATCAACAGGCTGAGATATTCGTGACGCTCCTGAAAAAGTCCGTAACAAGAAGCTGCTGCAGCCCGATCCCAGCTTCTAACCACAGTGGAATAACCTTCACCATTTGTCTGTTAAGTAGCTCACAAGCCCAAACTGTTGAATATCGTGGCTTTCTCCCGCCTCTCAAGGTGGAAGGTTTAACAAAATCTGTTCTCTGGATTTGCCAAGGGAGCACCTCAGCAGCAGGCATGTGGCAAAGTCTCAGCGCTTTTGCTCCAACAGTCCTTCTGGAATTCATCCAGTACATGCAGCCACCTTGTTCAAAACCAACAGAACATGCTTCTCTCACCCTTCTGTCTCCTGGTCTGAATTTCACCTCACGCCACTCCTGTCCCAGCTAAACTGTTCTTTCGCCTGAGTTAACTAAGGGATACTTTTTTCCTCCGTGAGTTCAAAAACTCAAATTGCCAGCATAGCTGAGATGATTTTTCTGCCTAAACCTGCTTAAGGCACCTCAGTCAATCCACACACATGTACCCCACATTCAGACACATCCCACACTCCCCTCTCTGTCTCACAGTCCCTGTTTGACTTTGGCGAGCCAAAATCTGAAGGCTTAACACGGCCCACAGCGACTCTGAGAGAAAGGAAATCTGAAAGTTGAGCCCAACACTCAGAGGAACAGGCTAGGCAAATAAATGTCCACTATCAAGCATCTGAGAGTGCTCCGGAGGACTCCACTGAGCGTGGCTGCTTGTCCTGCTTTGCCAGGCACGACCTTAGAGGTCAGCGTGCTCGAGAACACCCAGAAATGCCAACAATGTGCTCAGGAGTGCTGGGCACTGGGCTTGGCCGCAGCAGGAACCTGCTCAGGACGCGTGAGAGGTTCAGCTCTACAAACTGTAGCAAGTTTGTCTTCTGTTCTGCTTTTCCCTCTTCCAGCCACAGTGCCTGCAAGCTTGTGAGGAGAAAAGAAACAAAAAAGGAGGGGGGGGGAAAAGTCCACAAAAGGTTAGGAAAACGTTGCCCTATTTGCTCACAGCACCTCTCTGCCAGGAATGTGCATTCTGATCGTGTTTTGCATGACTATTGATATTTCTGAGCCTGAAAAGCCCGCAGAACACCAACACTGCCTTGTGACAGAGCAAAGTGATGGGTTCAGAAAGAGTCTCTGCAGCCTGGCCTTCACTTTAGCTCTCTAGATCAACACCGGAGGCTGAAAGCCTCCTTTCCCAAGTGCTCCCAGCACTGCCGTCACCTGAGATCTCATCAGTTCCCACCAAGGTGGTTGTCTCCAGCACTGCTTGCAGAAACGCCTGGTTAAGGATTTACATTTCGCGGCTGACTCCTGGCAAGCGGCACTCCTTGCCCTGACAGCCTCTAGAGGAGAGCTGAGCAAAGCACAGGTGGTTTGTCCTTTGATCTGACAGCTGCCTTTAGAAGAAAAGAAGCAGCAGCTTCCACGGCCCATGTTTCACACTGAGCTGTGAAATACCTAGCAAACAGAGAGGGGCTATTGCATTTACTGGCCTCGCGTTACAGGTGGGGAAGCAAGTGTAACTGGTTCTGCTGGATTTAAACAAAAAACAGACACAGGAAATCAGTCAGTGACGCTGGCTCCTAGCGTGTCCTCTAGTTATTGACCCTAAGTGTCACCTCCCTGAACATTTCAGAAAATTTAACCGGTGCAACCTCTAATCCCATGCCTTGACCACACACGTCCTTGCCCTCCAGGGATCCCTGCCGGGTAGCTGTGAGCAGAAGTTGCCGAAAATCCAGACTCACTTGTTGTATTCGCTCGTGGTGGGAGTGCGGTCTCGGTCTCTCTCCCGTTCCCGTTCCCGCTCCCGTTCCCGCTCCCTCTCACGCCTGGAGCCTGAGTACTCCCAATGGCTGCTGCTGGAACTGCTTGTGCCTTTGTCCACCGTGGTCACCCAGGGCGTGTGGGACGTGGAAATGGGGGGGTAGCTGATGAAACCTGAATCTGCAGAGAGAGAGCAGAACCCTTGTTCATCTGAAGTATTAGCAGCATCCTCTGTGCCTCCCTTTCCAAACGTACCTCGGGAGGTACAGCTGAACCCACAGAGACAACCACCACAGAATCACAGGTTGGAAGGGACCTCAGAGATCATCTAGTCTCCAGCTCCCATTGTGTCCTCATGCTCCCTTTTTACTTTCAGCAGTTTCCTAAGAACACAGGGACACCTCTTCCCCTCAGGAAGACGCAGGCAGGACCAGGTATTTACAGACTTGGTGGGATATCTCCCCAGCCCCTTACAGGGCACATTGCTCCAAGGGCTACGCACTCCCCAGCTCCTGCTGAGAGACCCCTGTCTCCTACATAGGTTCTGCCCTAAGGTCACCGCTGAGAGGTGGAGCTGCCACTCCCAAGGGTTGGTCACTAAGGAAACGGGAGAGAACACGGGCATCGGGGCAGGGCTGCAACAGGGAAGGAAATCTTGTGGAAATCCTGCACTGCCTCTGCCTTCACAGAGCGGAAGGAGAGATGCCTGCATGTGCCTGCAGGCAAGGGAGAGCACAGCGTGGGGGAGGAGATTTGAAGCTGAATGTGGGGGGAAAAAGGAAGAGAGCGTGAGTGTGAGCAACTACATGTGCAAGCAAGCACAAGAACGCATTGCTGAGGCACACGGGGAAGCTTCTCTCTCGCTGGGTATCTGCACTAAAACCAGTGATCGGAGGCTTAGCGCTCAACTGCAGAATTGCAGTCACCATCGCTGCAAAACACTCAGCTTTGCAACACTTTATGGGGTGGTCAAACTCAGAACACGTCTAGTGACTGGGACAGTTTGAGGTACAAGCACAAGCAAGACACTTAACGCAAACATCATGTTCATCAGCTTAATAAAAGCCTAAACTACTAAATACCAGAGTAATAAGAGATCTAACAGTTTGGGTGTTTGGTATCTTCAGTGCCCACCTGCAGAATTGTAGCCAAAGGGAGGAGGCTGCCTGTTGTTGTAGCTGGCTGGCTGCCTTCGGAGAGAGAAAAAGATGCAAGTTACTAACACCGGTGACCCCTTGCAGGTACGTCCGTGCTGCAAGTTCACCCGATTTTTTCTGAAGGGCTGCGGAACACCCTCATGGAAACCCACGGTCCCAGTGAATCTCTCCCACTTTGTGCTGCAGCAATCCCAAACGCATACACAGGTGCAGTCGCTTTTCCTCAGCTATTGAAACGGCTCTAACTCAATGGCTGGCCCTGCTTTCCCCAAATCAGGTGGAAATCACTTACAAAATACCCAGAGAATCTTTACAGGTTGGGGCTAACAACAGGCTGCCAACTGCTCTAAGCACATGCGCAGCTTTTATCGACTCCTTCCCGTGTCACGTATAAGACAAACCAAGGCCAACGCACAGAGGGCTCCTTACGGCCTCTGCTCTCACCTCCCACCCTGACCCCTGACCAGGCTGAGAATTACGAGCCCCGATTTTAGCTCTGTCCTCCTCCCTTCCTCTCTGAGGAGGAGCTGTACCGACGGCTCAGCCTAGGCGTGGTCTTACCCATCCAAGGTTGGAATGAGGAGAGCTGGTGGCGGTGCCAGAGGAGGCGGGAACAACCCTAGACACAGAAGCGTAAAGTCATCCCAGAGATCTCACAGCTTGCCGTGACGGAATAAAGCTTTATTGCTGCTTACAGCTAAAAGCAGTTAAAGCATCTTTTTACTTCAAGCAAAGCCCTGTTTGAAACGGAATAATATTCCTACCAAAATTAAAACCCCACAGCTGTATTAGTATGGAAAGAAAAATAAAGAACTATCTTCTATTGTAGCTTTTTCAGCTTAAACATAAGATTAATTAAGGGGTAAACATCACCCCTTACAGTCCTGTGGAAGACAGAAAAGCCTGGTTGTTGGGATGCAGACACGCTGCAATGACAGCAAAGGTTTTATTGCTCCATTGATCAAAATGAGTAACTTTGTCTCATGCAAACCAGGTAACATAGCCTTAAATTAACAGCGCCCTAAAATGGATCTTGGTGTCATCCTATCTTGTGTCACTGAATCCAAATGCTCAGACAGGGCCATCTCTGTGTTCAGAATCACTGCTGTCATCAAGAGAGTGTAACACCTACCTGGAATGGGGCCAGGCGGCGGAAGACCTATGGAAATAACGAAGCAAGGAAAACAAGTGAGGACAACAGGTAGAGCACGTCATTGCTGTACCTCAAGCTACACCTAAAAGCACACTTGTGGATAAATTTCACATATCTGAGCAGACCATCAGCTAAATCAGTGCTATTAAGCAGTAACTAGCCTACAAACTGTCAATTTTCCCAAACGATGATCTCTCTACCTTTTTATTACAATTGCAATGGTGGCTGCCATGTTTTAAGTATTCACAGGCAAATGTGAAATAGGTTGATGGAGGCACTGAATAATGCTTGGCCAGGTCTAAGGACCTCTGACCTAATTGCTAGATTGTCCCAAAGCGTTTAACGATTAAACCTGTGATTTGCTCCACGCCTGGGATGTCTCAACTTGCGTCCGCAGAACTGCCCCAGGCTGCTGTGTGAACACATACCTGGAGGATGCAGAGGAGGTGGAACAGAAGTAACTGGTGGAGGAGGGTGGAGGAAGTGTGGCGGAGGTGGCCCAGCGAGCGGGGGCGGCGGTGGGCCTGCTGGTGGTGCGAACGGCTGCTGCTGGGGTGGCTGCTGGGGCTGTGACGGCTGCTGGGGCTGCTGTGGGGGTTGTGGCTTACTGCCGTGGTCTCCAAGGACCTTAGAAGGCAGAGGAACGAGAAGAGAGCATTTTAATCAATTTGCTTCTGGACCAAAGACCTCACCCTGCTGGCAGAAAGGCAGCATCCCGCCAAAAGAGGCAGCACTGCGACACCTGGAAACATCAGGCTATGCTGCGCTCGAGGGACAACATATTTTGGGGAGGAAGGCAGGCTCAAAGCAATCCATATGCTTAGCAAGGCACCTGCTCCTACACAGAGCAGCAGTGAGACTGGATTCGAGCTGTACACACAAAACTGTGCAAAACAGTGCTGTGAGTGCCTGTTGTTCACAGGAGCTGTCACTGATACAGGTTTCAGATGAGCAGCTGCTGTATTTGACGGTGACACAGCTTCCTTTTCTTTTTTTAAACCAAATTTCTCCTTCCTCATGGCAGCAAGAATAAAGCTCTAGATTGTGCCCATTTAGGTCAAAGGAAGACATGCAAAATCAGAACGGAGTCCAGTTTTAAACCCCAGGCTTTTATTTCTTCTAAGGGACAAGACCCAGTAGCACAGGCCCACTCTAAGTCTGAAGCATGGGCTGCATCTACTGATGCTTACACTAAACGCTCCTTCAAAGCAAAAACAGAAACACAAGCCCCACGCAGAAGCCCTCCACTGCAGAGCTGGGGATGCCAACCCAACACGGAAAAGAATAATCTAACAACAACACACGTATACACCTCGACAGGGTTGATACACTACTTACTGCTTTGCAGAAAGAAAAAGTGATAGGCAAGGTCAGGAATGCGCAAGACGTTTGTTTGGGGTTCACCAGAAGCGCAATAAAATCAGAAATTTGTCAAGATGGAGAAAAGCATTTACCTGAATTGGGTTTTCCTCAGAGGCATGCTTATCACGTCGTCTTCCCTCTACTCTCCTAATCGTGCCTGCCTGGCCACCGATCACATCAATTGTCCCACCCAGCTTCCTGGTACAAAGCAGATGCATCTTTTTTAGTCTCAAAGACATAAGACGGAGCAGTCTTCCTCACTCTCAGACAGACTTCTCTCATACATTCTTTTAAACCAGGGAAGATTCTCTAGAGGCAGCACTCAAATTGGACAAGAGATGAATGAGAAGTCCTTTTTCACTTCCGAGCAATTTGAGCTCTGCTTGCAGGGGTGAGTCAGGTCTCTCTGAACACCCAGAAAATGATCCAAAGAATCACCTCTTACAGGTGTAATAACACAGATGTACTCTCTGGTTCAGAGCTGACATCTGTTACCTCCAGATAATGCTCAGGGAAAGCGGAGACAAAAACCGCTGTATAGTTACAACAGCATCCGCTTGTTTTGCAGCGGTGTAAACCTGCAAAATTCTCATGAGATACACAAGCAGCTGGAAACAAACTCGACTGATTCGATGGCACTGCAGAGAGGGACAGAAATGCCACCAAAGAGTTTAAACGCAAACCAGCTCAGTAGAGCTTTAAAGCTTATACTTGAAGCATACAGTTAGCTCTCTCTCAGACAAAGTGGGAAGTTGGAATCCAGGGCTGATTTCTGCGAGACAGGTTTGCAAAAGGTGTAACGTAATGCGGATAAAGCAGCAGAAACACCCAGATCCCAAAGCTCTGGCTCCTCTGGTTTCATATAGCCTCGTTCTTCCAAAGCGTTTGATAAAAAGCCACCAGCCTCAATAAAGGCAAAGTGGTTTTCCCATCAGAGGCTGCCCATCAAAATGACTCAGTCGTGTGGCTTTGTCCAGCCTTGCGCAGCCTCTCGCTGACTGGAGAAAATAACTAATTAGCAAGCACCAAGCAGCACAGCGCCCAGGTTCAGAAGCCAATAGCTCCTCTTATCAGCTGCCAAACGTGTTACCCACTTCCACTTCAGGAGGCAAAGATTAACATCGTGGGAGTGAGAATAAGCCAAGTAAGCACCAGCCGGCAGCAACGCAGGCCCTCAAAGCTGAGGCATTCCCCTTGGTTTTTCTGCTCCCAGAGATGTTTCCCCTTCAACTGGTGCATCGGTTTAAAAAATTCTTCTGTTTCAGGCATGAGGAGATTCAGATATCGTCCAGGTGGATCCCAGCTACCCCTAAGAAGAACACAGCACACCCGGCCTTTATGTCTGCATCATCTCTTACCTATTAGGAGGAGGCCCAGCCTTCATGCGTCCTCCCACCAGAGCCAAGAAGTCGGTTTTGAATTCTGTTTTGATGATGTTGTTTTCCACTTCTTTTTCGGCATTTCCTGTTCGTCCTTGCTGAACCTAAGGAAGGTAACACGTAACACACGGGTTTAATGCCCCTACTTTCAGCTCAATGTAGCATCAGAGATTAACCCTCAAGGGAAAATGGCTCCCCTGAGGAACAGTCACACAGCTCTTGCAAACAAGCAACCTATTCTTCAGCCAAGACACCAGATATTTCTGTAAACCAGCGGCTATTTCAGCCTCAGCCTGCTGCCCACTGTCTCCCGCTAGAAGTGCAGAAATTTAATAATCTCGTATCCTTTTTCAGGCAGTCCTTAAGCCAAAACTGGAAAAAGTAATGCTTGCTGGTTTGGGTCTTCGGCTGAACTTCTGACTAACAGCTGCTGGCCACCTGGAGGACTTCAGCAAAGGTCGTTGGGCAAAGCAGTCTCCAACAGTCAAAAGCAACAAGCAAAACAGCCAGGGATGCCCAGCTCCCCTCTCTAGAGCTGATCTACAGGATCAGAACCCTCAGCTGGAAACTCACTCAAGGCTTGCTGCTGCAATAGTTCCAACCTGCCTGGCAGCTGGAATTTCACAGAGAATTAGCAGAGAGATTTAATCCTTAAAGATACTTTTTTTGTATTTCTCACCCCTGAAAGGAACACAACACAATTATGTATTACGGTATCTTCCACTCTTAATACTCTTATCTCTGTGATTACCAAAACAAGTCCCAGTTTTACTGTAGCCATACGCAGGAGCAACATGTCACCTACCGTGATCTTATTCTCTGTGCTGATGGGAGGAGCAGGATCCAGTCCAAGCTGGAGCCGTCGCTGCTTCTCACAATAAGCTTTCCATGTTTCTTCATTGAATCCATAGTTAAAGTAATCGGAAAGATCAGCACCTGACAAAGGGAGTAAAAGTGAACATGGGGATTCTGGCAGACTTGCATTCCAAATTGTCTTTTAACTGCTTAAACAAAGGTCTAAGAAAAAAAAATCTCTTCCAGAGAGCACAGTTTATTCTTAATTTCATGCTATTAGAAACCCTTCGTGTGCCACAGTGGAGATGGCTGCCACTCTTGGTGGGAGGGGGGACAAGCACCTGAACGGCAGTGGGGCCATTAGGGACACAGATCACAGACCGCACACATGCTATGCAAGGAGATATTTGCAACCAATTATTCACCAACTGCACTTTTTCAGACTGATTTCTTGCAATCGTCCAAATGAGTGGAGCGCTGGGGTGAGCACAGGAACGACGGTTTCAGCTACCACCGCAACGGGATGGTACCCAGAACCTTTCTCTTGGCAGAGATAAGCTGACATGTTCCAACCCTGACCTTTGCTGGCCTGAAAAGAGATTCTGGGACTTGCGCATTTTGTGAAACAGGCTGAATTGGAAGGTTTTAAGCGATATGTCTCAGATTACACAAGTAATTACAGCTCAGCCACAATCCTAACTAGAGCCTTCCAAGATTGTTATCTGACTTCGACAGTCTTCCTGTGAAACGTGCTAATTCAGCACGAGCGCTTCTGAATAAGAGATGTGGCCACAAACTGCCTGCCAAGAAAAAGCAGATGCGGAGGGACAAACGTAGCTGCAACTGCCTCTGTACGGCGCCACCGCACAACGGAAGGCATTACGGAGCATCTCCCAGCCCCACTGGGGTGCCCCTCAAACAGCCCCCTCGCAAAGGTATCCCTAGACGAACCAATTCTAAACCAGGGCTAAGCAGAACACGTGGACCACGCTGAGCCGGGATCTGTGCAGCGAGGTTTAAGTGTGTCTCCCAGGTAGGCCGCTCCTCCTGTTGTCACCACCCAAACATGCAAATTATGTAAAGGTCGTGTCACTGCGCCTGTGTTGGCACATCTATTTTATCAGTCTGTATTTCAGTCCCCTATCAGTTCTTCCAAACCGCACTGTCCTTCCTCTTCCTCACTTAAAGTGAGACGAACGTGCTGAGCAATTAACTGGAAAGGATATAAAGCTAAAAGGCCGTTGAGTAACAAGTGACTGGCCATCTAAAATAAACCACCAATGGGAACTCCCGTGCAGAACAGGCTGTTTTCTGTTATGTCTGCACAAGCTGCTGTTCATCACACAGCGCTTTGGGGCTGGCTCGGTAGTGAGTCCCGTCGATGCGGTTATCAGCACTGCTCCGTGCTGGGATGCCCTTCATTTCAGCTGGGCAAGAGATACCAAAACCACACCGCAACAGAAGCACTACTTACTTAGCACAGCGATATTTCTCAAAGATAAATAAAGTACATGGACTGCGGGGGAGAAGAATTATTTCTGAGGAGGCGAGTGGATTTTTTTTGCTTCAGTTAACATTTCATCATAGCATGCTCTAAGAGAGTAGCACAGAAAAACTTGGATTTCTTCTGTTTTTTCATTTACTTCTGTATCAAACTCAGACGAAAAAGAGAAGTTTATTTGTAGCATCCTACAACAGTGATGCTGGAGTCGCTTCTGAGTAGAAAACTCCCTAATGCTTACCAGGAAGACAAAAGAGACCCTATATATACAAAAAAACCAAAGTTTTTTTTTGCAAAGTGCTGTTTGTCTGGACCCAAATGAGAAGGCTGCACAAGGATGACTCTGAGCTTGGCCGGGGTGAGATGGAATAAGCAAGCTGCCTGTACATGGAGAGGTGAACACGCATCACCAACAGCCAAATCTGGATCCTACTCAACTCACTTTAAGGCCAAGAAACATTACTGCATTGGTATCAGCGCGCTATTTTCTGCAACTAGGGAATTAATAAAATAGATTATTTAAAAAAAAAAAAATTTGTTCCCTTTAAGGAAGTTAAATTAAATTAATAGAGTAAAGGCAACTCAATTTTAGGTAGAAGTAAATGTCACTGAATGTCTAGACAAACATCAGAGGCTGGGCGACACGCATCGTTCCAACTTCCCTGTTCCCTAGCAGCAATAAATGGATAGAAATTACAGCTGAAATTAAAGAGAGACAATTAAAACTACAGGAAATATTTACCACAAGAAACTGTGAGGCCCCACCTGGTTTCCTCCACGGTTTGTCTTCAAATGAATCTAAATCCACTTCTATAACTGGCAATCCATTTATATTCCCTGCGGCATCTAAGTCAATACCTTTGGGCTGCAACTTGGCTTTGGAGAGAGAGAAACCGTTACTACTTTTAATGCAATGCCTTTAATCCACTAATTTGCTGAGCAAATTACTCCAGTCAGAAATAAAGCACTAGTGTGAATTCATTGCTGGCTTTACAGCACATAGGTAACCACAATCAACTTCTTACTAAAAATTACTTCAGTCACTCTGTAAATAAATAGCCAGGGCATAGAGCACTTCAGTCGAACAGCAGAGAAGCAAATTCAACCCAGACTGGTACTACAGACAAACACATTATTACAGTATGCATGATATTTACCCCAAATTAAAACAAAAATATTTTTCTCCCCAAGCCAAAGACTTATTTTTACCTCCCAAGACACATATTTTCTCATAAAGAGAGACTTTTTTAGGACCAGTCTTAGCTGGGCCATGTACTAACTGGAGTCAGCAGTTACAGAATTTCTTATTTTCTCAGTCAGAAGACAAGTCATTTGCATAAGGAAATTAATGGAAGGAAGTGTATGAAGCCCACTGAAAGGACAGTCTCACATATGCAGAGGGACAGAACCCAAGTCTCAATATACAGTATAAACTAAACTGAACGGTGGAGAAAATTTCATCTACAGAAATATGTGCAGCTGATACTCGAGGCCAGTCTGTTTCTCGTAGTATCGTACACTACAAGAAGCTCAATAACTGACCACAGAGTTCAACTTCTTCTCCAGGCAATGTGGAATGTTCGGCCCCAGGGCAACAACAGAGTTCAGAAATGTCCTGGGGGTTTTTCTACTATAGAAGTAATAATCAATGGAATTTTTTTTCCTAGTTTAAATAGGATTATAATCAGCTTGTTCAGTGATGTGTAATTAAATCATTCCATTGCACCCTGGACCCTCAGACTGTTCTACCTTTAGAAAACACACTTCCTATTCCTAGTTTTAAAAAGACGCACTTATTTGATAGTCTTCCAAACAGAGACCAAGATTTGCAGCTGCTCCAGCTGTCAGTGCCAGGTAAGTGAAACATTGCAAAAGGTGAAGGATAAAAATAACAGCGATACCTGAAGCAGATGCTCCATAGCCTCTACCCGTTTTTAAGTTTAGATTCATAGGAGTTCCCCTACATGGAAAAGAATCACTACATTGGTATTTGAACAAATCACTCGGTTGAAGGTTTTCACACAAAATATAGTCAAGCCCTGCCATCCCTCAGAAGATGCTTAGTTCACTCGGGTTTTATTCAGACCTCTCTGATTCTTGGTACTAAGTTTCAACCCATTTAAAGAGAGATTCCCTTGCTGCCTAACTTGCTCTACACAGCACTGACCAACAACAGAACACACAAGGATCGTCCTCACTGTGAAAGGTTATTTCAAAGAGTGGTAGTTCCCCCTCCACCCAGGAATGGACTTAGTATTTAAAAGGAACTGAACATGGAAATCCGACGGCTGCAGACAGATCTCAGAATGAGGAAAGGTAGAAGCAGCAGTTTTTAAAAAGAATGCCTGCAAAATCTAGTGAGCTGCCAGCAGACAAAATATTGCTACTCAGAGCACTCCATCAGACTGAAACCACCTGCACAACCAGAGAGAGGAATTAGCCATAAAGTGGAAAAATTAGAATATGCTGCAAAGCACATATAAGTCACTTTCTTAAGAGAAGGGCTGCTAGCAGCAAGCAAAAATGCTGTCGTATTATTTTTATTCAATGCAAATTAGTTACAATTTTAAGTCAGTGACATAATTTCCCGGTTTGCAAATCCAGCCTCACCATTTCCGAATCATGAAAGCACAAGACAGCTGAAAATCAGTAAACTCACAGCTTATGCAAATTCTTATAAACACAGATTCTGGTTCTTGAAGTTTTCACAGATGAGGAGTTAAATGTTAACTTCCCACCTTGATTTTGCTTGAAGAAGTGCAATTATTATTTGGTTAATTTTCCAACAGCACACCCATGAATTTTAGAGATGGATTCTCCAAGGAGCAATTGCAGGACAGAGCTTCTAATCCCATTCTGCTGTTCTAGAAGTTACTTTCATGTCTCCCAGAACACAGACCAGCTCTCACGCCCACTTTTGATCAACCCGCTAGAGCTACCTCAGCTCGAAAAATCAACACCGCAGTCAGCCATACGTACATGTACGACGGCGCTCCCGTTTTAATGTTGCCAATAGTAACTTTCACGTCATCGTCATCGCTGTCACTGTCGCTGTCGTCTTCTTCATCTTCACCACTTGGAAGGGCCTAGTAACAGGAGCTCATTAATACGTAAAACTGATCAATTCCCTGGGACAGGAAGCCAAACGTGACAACGCTGGTATAACAAAGGACTACTAGAACGAATGGTTCTGATATAAAGACATAACTTGCTACTGCTCTCCAAGGCTACACAAAGTTGTCTCCAGAGGCAAAAGCCATGGAAGCAACCAGCCTTCATCACAGACAGGTACCTCCACAGAAACCACTATGTCCTGTAAAGAAGTGACCCTACATGAGAATCAGGATAGGATTTTTGAAGGTGGGGAAGGTTTAGCTTGCTTCCAAGAATGTCATCACATCCCACAGCTCCTCTCCCCTGCTCTTTCTGAAAGAACTAGGGCTTTTTTGCCACACCTCCTTCATAGGTCCATGGTGAAGGTACACAATCACAACGGGCATCATGTTCTGCTTTTTCTGCCAGGCTGCAGCACCACGGTTCGCTGCCCACTACACCAGGTAGCTGAGAGGAGAAGCCTGTTGCTGCAGTCAGCATTGGGAATTGACTTCTGGCACACTCCTACACTACAAATGCAATGTACTAGGCAGTACCGGCATCTTTTACACTTCTGTCTTTTTATCCACGAGTATTGGGAAGTGCAAAAATAACTACGTCTACAGTTTGCAGTGGAATACGTACGTGTTGCGACATTTCTCGGTCTTCATTGCTGACAGGCCGGTTCTCCTGAGGAGCATCTTGCAAAGGATGAGAAGATTCTGTGTGCCTAGTAAACGCAATAGAAAACAGAAAACAGACAAGCTCAATCCAGAGGTTCACCTATAAACATTTCTAAAGCATTTGTTCACGCGACTTTCATACAATGGCTTTATTCACGTAGCGTGTTTATTCTGCTGGCAGTTTGCTCAACTATAGGACAAAAAATTAATCATCCCTGCTTGGCTTTGCTTTTGTTGGAAAGAATCAGTTTAGTGCTTCCGAAGCACACGTGACAGACGGCGTGGCTGCCTGGCCAAGCACCATGTGTCTAACTGGGAGCTAGAACTGCTTTCAGCTTTGGTTCAGCACAATCACATCTGATAGGAATAAGGCCATAATAAGTAAAACCTCACTTTGTCCTTAGGGATGCTAGTAATTATACATATATTTAGTAAGCATCAAGGTATACATGCTGTAGAAATTAAGGAGAAAGCAGTTTCAGTGTTTCTACAAGTAACTTACACTAATGACTAGTTAAAATTGAAAGATAATTATCCAGCCCATCTTCTCATTCATTATAAATTAGTTCTAATGCAACAATGGTGAGGTTCAGATTCACCTCCAGTTAAAGAGTTCTTAAAAATGTTAACATTGTTTACTGCATTAACCAAGCAAGAGAGTCAAGTGGGTATCCACATGCTTGAAAAGAATATGCCAAGTGTTACAGAACGAAAACACGTAGAGAGATCATCTTTTTCTAATGTCATAGGCAAAACATAGTAGAACTTCAAAATAATTCCAGCCTTTCAAAAGAGATAATTAGAATAGCCAAGGCATCTCAATCCTCCAGGTACTTTGTGGAGATGTTGCTATCAATTTAAAACCCCGGGGGGACAGAAAACATACACAGGATTATCTTCAAAAAGAAACACATGTAACACCTAACAGAATCCAAACACTGCCCAGATTAAAGCCATTTCAGGGGCAGCAGGAAAGGAGACACCAAAACAAGGAAGTCAGAAGACCATGCTAACACAACTCAGAGAGCAGGGATCAAAAAGAAGGGGTGAAGGTCCCGCAGCTAACCACGGAAGCGCACGTCCGTTTTCCCCAAGTTCCTGAGGTGACAGCTCTTCAAGACACTTCAAGTTATAAAAGGCAGCCAAGACTTCGACGGGAAAATCAGCCTTTAAATGTATCTCAAAGCTGCAGCCACAACCTCTTAGGTAAGGACTCAAAGCTGTGCCACTGGAGAAAAACCTCACAGGTGGCTCCAAAACCTTTTCCATTTTTTTCGCCAAACCCAAGGAACTCCTAACATTGATCTCAACCCCAGAACTTTCTTAAGAATCCAAGATGACTGCATTAAGGAAGAGCGACAAGCATTACCTTCAGCTTCAAGTCACATGAGATATCTGTGGGTGTGCATTAAAATTTATGAATCAGGAGTTCAAATCTAGCGAACAGTCTTTCTTTAACCTGTTTGCTTCCCAGGAATGAACCATCTGACAGGTCCACAGCCATCACCTGCATGCAAAGAAGTGTCGCAGCTACTTAATTTCCCCAGAATGTCACCTCTAACCCTGCTCAGTGCCATCCTGCACAGACAGACAGTATTTAACGCATCCTTTAGGCTAAGGAACGTTAATGGATACCAAATCCCAATTTCTGCTTCATGGGTAGGGACAAATACTCTAAACAGAGCCAGCAACATATCCCTGGAGCTGCAGCTGTTGACAGAATAGCAAAGAAAGAGTCATTTTTCTTAAAACACCCCACAGCACTTCATTTAGGAAGATCCTCAACAAAGAAAAAAGCAGGGAGAGGGAAGAGGGAAAAAAAAAAAACAAACCAGAACTAGCATGACCACTAATACTTTTCCTTCACGCATCTTGTGGTTATTGGAGACAGTTGCAGGAAAAGCAGATTTGTAGCCCTGCTTGTAAAGTAAAACTACATTCAGATAAAAGTGGCAAGGAACAATAGATTTATGCAACCAAATTTTTATCTAAAAGTTGCTCCTTCTCACAAAGTTCATTTGATGTTTTTAAGGTAAGAGTTTACAAAGCTGCCTAAAACCTGGTTTTGACCAAGTTTCTATATTCCCTGAGCGCAGCATAGTTACTACTATGCAGGACAGCATCCATAACAATCTCAGAAATTCCAGATACTTGGAATCACAACGTCCCTACAGGACAATAAATATTAAACCAAACTTTTGAAGGTGCTGAGCACAAAGAAGTCCAGCGAAGATCAAATCTTCTGAAAACGACGCTACACTTAGAAACGGCAAAGAGATAACATTTCTGCTGAAGAAAACTCTGCTGGTGCAAAACACACCGCTACAAATACAGGGGAGTAATGCTCAGGGAAAGGTGACAGACACCACCTGCCACGCACAGAAGGCAAAACTCATCGTTGACTTGTCTCCAATACTTCTCTCTGAAAGGCTTACCCAAACCACAGGCTTCACAGATCTCAAATAATCTACTGATTTGATCCCATCAAGATTTTAACCTAGGCTCAAGGTTTTTAGCGTCCCCAGGCTAAAGCACAGGCCATACTTTTAGCAACACCAGGCCAGCACAAAAGTCAATCCTCAAGGCACCATTTTTCCTAGGACATCAAACCGGAAAACATCTGATTTAAAACTAATCGGGGAGGGGGAAAAAAGCGTTAACAGTTAGTTTTAACTCGAATCAGTTGAACTGATCCAGTTCACCTTCCAAACGTACAAATTCTGCACCAGCTCAAGCGTGCTGGCTGGGGATAAGACCCCGTGGGAGGGGAACAGGGCAGGCTGCTGCTTCTGGCAACAGCGTCGGCCTAAAGCGGTCATGAAGCTACGTTTAACAGGGCTGGATCTTCTTTGCAGCATGTATTGTTACAATGGATAAACAGTCTCTGGACTCACCCAGAAATTGGTCCATCTTCTTGCTTACCAGTGGTGTCATCTGCAAAAACAATAACAATAAAAAATTATTCTAGTGGAAGAAAATGAGCTAAATGCAAGCACGAAACAAGCCGCAGCTACAGAAATACCTAGTAGTGCTCAGGCACTATAACCCCAATGTCCTCTTTTCAATAAAGCTCAACTAGAATTGGGGCTACTAAGAAAAAAAAAACATAGCAAATCAACAAGGAAAAGTGAAGTCTCACACCACTGCCACAGAACAAAATTCAAAATGCCTATCTGAAGTCTCAGAGGAGTAAAGGCAAATATCACGTAAGGAACTGAAGTCACCCGTGAAGGCCTTTATCTAGACTTTTACACGCCAGGGAAGAAGACACATAAGAGTGCTCAGTTGGAAATTCTAGGAGGAGCACAAAGGCGTTTAAATGAAGCCCTACACCTCTCCCCGGTGCCCTACTCGCCCAGGGGTTCACCTGCACCAACCACCCTACCGCGATCTGCACGATTAGGAAGCTGAAATCGCCACGAAGCGCCGCGCCAGCCCCTTCGCACCGCGGCGTTATTG